AGCCTTGACCTGCTGGGCTCAGGCGAACTTTCCACCTCAGCCTTCCAAGTAACTGGAACTATAGGTGCACACCACCATGCTCAGCTGATTTTTAAAAAATTTATTGTAGAGACGAAGTCTTGCCAAGTTGCCCAGGCTGGTCTTGAACCCCTAGACTCAGGCAATCCTCTCGCCTCCACCTCCTAAAGCACTGGGATTACAGGCGTGAGCCACCAAGCCAGCAGGATTTCTATATGTGGATGCTAATTTCGTTCATTCAGCACATTTGTATTGAGCGCCCCAGGAGTTTCTTGCAAAAAAGAGAAGACAAAATTCTTGTGCTTATGAAGCTCGGTCCTTCATGCCAATCACACAAGTTCTTCTGTGCTCTGAGTTTGCCAAAGCTCAGATGTCAACCTGTTTCATGTTAAGTGGTGTTAGTACTGCTTGATGTTTCTGAAGGTTGTCAGCCCGAGCCAGCCATTATAACTCAATATAGGCCAGGCACAGTAGTTCACACCAATAATCCCAGCGCTTTGGGAAGCTGAGGTAGGAGGATTGCTTGAGACCAGGATTTCGAGGCCAGCGTAGGCAACATGGTGAGACCTCGTCTCTATAAAAAAATCAAAAAATTAGCTGGGCGTGGCAGTGTGTGCCTGTAATCCCAACTACTCAAGAGACTGAGGTAAGAGAATTGCTTGAGCTCAAGGGGTGGAGGAGAAAGCCATGTGAAGAAGGAGACAGAGACTGGAGTGATACCATCACAAGCCAAGGAATTGTGAGGACCACTAGAAGCTGAAAGAGGCCAGGAAAGATTTCCCTCCCCTAGTGTCTTTGGAGGGAGCTTGGCCCTGCCAGCACCCTGATTTCAAGTTCCTGGTGTCCAGATCTGTCAGAAAATGCATTTCTGATTTCTTGCTTTTTTTTTTTTTTTTTTTTTTGAGTCAGGGTCTCACTCTGTTGCCCAGGCTGGAGTGCAGTGACACCATCACAGCTCACAGCAGCCTTAACCTCCTAGGCTCAGACAATGCTCCAGCCTCAGCCTCTCGAATAGCTGGGACTACAGGCACACACCACCACGTTTGACTAATTTTTTTATTTTTGTAGAGATGAGGTCTCGGTATGTTGCCTAGACTGGTCTCGCACTCCTGGGCTCAAGCGATTCTCCCATCTCGGCTTTCCAAAGTGCTGGGATTACAGGTATGAGCCACCATGCTCAACCTATTTCTCTTCTTTTAAACCATACAATCTGTGATCATTTGTTACAGCAGCCACAGGAAACTAATACAACTGAAATACTGTGCAGACAGTATTTGGAAAGGTAGGACAAATACTTGATTCATTCCCCTCTGTGTGCCAGTTTACAGAATAATAAGTGGTTTCCTAGCAACCTCCAAAGTTTACTGGTGAGTTTCTTTCTTTTTAGGACAAATATAATTTAAGTATATTTGGTGTTTCAGTCTGTTGCTGTCTCTATTCTTTTTATGATATCTCCCTTTTGGAGCTTAAGTTGTCCCATGAGCTCCTTCAAGATAGCTCCTTTTTGACATGAACCCAATCATCTTGGATAAATATCTTGTCTTCTGGCCTAAAAGGATATCCCAGGTTCATTTTTTACCTATATTCCCACCCCAGATCTGGAATCTGCCATTTCTGCAAGAAGATCTGATTCCCCATAGTGGAAAATGGTATTTAGATGCCACTGTCTGCTTATAAGGGTGTTCACTGCTCATAGGTTATTGTTGTTGGGATTTTCCATTGGACAGACCTAGGAAACACATGCTTTTTAGAAAAAGAATTCATAAATTTTCACTGATATTGCCAGTTCAAATGTATGATTATGGGGTTTTTATCTAGCTTTTTAAAAAGTCTTTATTTGATTCTGTTTTTTATCTGAGAATCTTGTTACCAAGGACATTAACATAATTACTGATGCATATATAATAGACTATAGCAAGTGCACACACGTACACAGTTTTGAAATAACGAAACCAGTATAATTACTAACAAGATTCCTGCTCACTGTTGAAGACTTCTTGGTACTTCTTGTCCTTAGGATACGCCTTACCAAATGTGTATAGTAAAAGTACTGTGTTTGAAAAGTCCTTCTCTGTGGCCTATACCACCAGCTCAATATACAATTATTCAATCGTTTTGCCATGTTTTTACATTTTGAGCTAACTTGAGTTTTAAGTTTTAAGAATTGTTTTTTTCCTTTGTTATCTGGTGTTTTGGGGGAGGGGTTGAGTCAGAGTCTCACTCTGTTGCCCAGGCTGGAGTGCACAGCCACTGTAGCCTCAACTTGCTGGGTTCAAGTGATCCTTCCAGCTCAGTCTTCCAAATAGTTGTAACCACAGGTACACGCCACCACACCTGGCTAATTTTTTTGATTTATTATAGACAAGGTCTTGCCAAGTTGCCTGAGCTGTTCTCGAACCTCTGGAATCAAGCAATCCTCTCACCTCTGCCTCTCAAAGTGCTGGGATTATAGGAGTTAGCCACCACGCCCAGCTTAATTTTGTTTTATAATTATGTAAAACCAAGGTTCCAAAGTTTTGAAATAACAATACCAGTATTGTTATTTCAAAACTACCCACCCCTTCCCTTGCCTCCCTGCTTTGGGTAGCTATTTCAATTCATTTTTGGTTCCTTTTTCCTTGTCTGTGCTTGAAAACATCAGCAAATACTTAAATATATTCTTATTTCTGACTAGACTCATGCCCTTTATAAAATTGCATGCATCCTGTTATGTACCTTGCTATTTTCACTTTAAAATACAACATGGAGATTATTGCCCCCCCCATTGGGTGAATTACCCTGATTTAGTCAACCCATTCCCAACTGTTGATGGACATTTGTGTTGTTTCCAGTATTTTGCTGTAAATAAGGCTGGCACGAATCGCTTTCTCCAAGGCTCTCATTGGGATAGACTTTAAGCGAGTGTGGGCTGGGTCCCAGGATGCGGGCTAGTGTAATCCAGGTTACATCTTCAAAGTCTCTCTCTCCCTGCAGGAATGTAAGCTCCTTGGCTGTGTTGTCCAGTTTATCACGTTGCATCTCCAGTTCATCATAGACGCTCATTTCTGGCTGAAAGAATAAATCTCACTGTGTCATTCCCCTGCTGAAACCCTGCAGCCACTGCCGTCACCCACAGGGTAAAATCTAAAACGCTTCAGTGGCACAGAAGATGCTAGTGATGGCCTGACCTCTCCTGGGACACACACCCCCTTTCCCTGCCAGCATCCTTGAATTTGTTCCTCTGCCCACACCAAATCACTTCCACTTCCCAGTGTGTCTTCCCATCAGCACGTGATATTCTCTCGCCTACAGTACTCCTGCTGCTCCCGACTTGGTCACCAGGTAAACTCCTTCTCAGCCTTCAAAACCCAAGTCAATCCTCCTGTGGAGGTTTTAAACATAGGCGTTCTCTCCATCATAGCATGATTGATTATTTCAATGTCCGTCCTGCTCACTGGACTTGAGCTCCATGAATGTAGGGGCCATCCTCTCCCATCTCTGAACCTCCAGCACTTAGCGACATGTCGGGCACATAGCAGGTACTCTACAAAGCTTGTGGAGTAAATGAAAAAGAGGCCTCCTGTAGTTAAAATAATTTGGACACAAAATATGTGGCTTCAAATCCTGGCTTTTCATCTAGTCTTGAGAGACCTTGGGCCAGTCAGATTCTTAGTTTCTTCTTGTGGAAACGAGATAATGCATCTGCATTGAGGGCTGTCTTCAGGACTGAATGCAGCCATATGTGGACGTACTTTGTATATGATGAATAATGGCATGGAAGGACAAAGGTGATCATGAGAGCAGACAAGGGAATTCAGAAGATCGAGGGGTGGGCGCATTCAGAGGCTAAGAGGAAGTTAAGTGGTAAGGAAGGGGCAGGGATGAAGGGACAGTAACTGATTGATAAAAATTATGGTCACTCTGCTGGGTACATCTCAGTGTTATCTCATTTTATCAAACCACAGTACTATAAGACAGGCTATTTTATTATCCCCAAGACTAATAAGTGGCAGAACTAGCACTTGAACCTGGATCTGGTCACAAGGCCCAGGCACCACTGGACTAATGAGGGGGTCAGTGAAACCCTCTCTCCCTGCTCCATCTCTCCAGGGAAACTGCCCTCTGTCTCCTTTCTCTGACTCACAGGGCATGACTCCCTCTCTAAACCTTCCCATGACAAGTTCTCAATGTAAAAATCTCTTTCTTTTTCACCAGGCATGGTGGCTTACGCCTGTAATCCCAGCACTTTGGGAGGTGGAGGCAAGAGGATCGCCCGAGTCCAGGGGTTTGAGACCAGCCCGGGCAACCTGGCAAGATCTCGTCTGTACAATAAAATTTAAAAATTAGCCAGACGTGGGTAGTGGCGTGCCCCCGCGATTCCAGCTACTTGGAAGGCTGAGGCAGAAGGATCTCCTGAGCCCAGGAGGTGGAGGTTGCGGTGGCAATGAGTATGCCACTGCACTGCAGGCCGGGTGACAGGGCGAGACTTTAACTCAAAAAAAGAAAAAAAAAATTTCTTTCTCATCGATCATGGTCTTGGAGAATAATCCCTCCCACCTCAGTCTCTGTCCTCTCGCCGGTGTGTCCCCTGGGGTGGGGCCAAGAAGGGATATTTGAAGTGGTGCAAAGGAAAAGAGAAATTTCTAAATGACAAATTTGCAACATGATTTTATTACATCTCAATGCTGAAGGGAAGTTCAGGCAGGTTTATAATTTAGACAGATCAAAGTGAATGATTTGACACGAGGATAGCTAGGGTTCTATCTCCTCTCAATTTCTACTTCCATCAATTTCCATGGGTGATGTCTAACTCAAATCCCTTCTTGCACATTTAAGCCAGCTTACTTCCTTTCATGGAAGACAGATTCCTCTGTCTTAATCAGAATTCAACAGATGCCTCAGGAAAAGCAATGTGATCCGAACACACAGGGCTTCTCAGACCAGACAGGCATGACTGCAGTAGATGGCCACATCTTCCAGCACTTGCTCAGGCTTCCAGCTAGTTAATGTTGTCTCCTTCTCTTAGCTTTCTTCTGTTCAGAAAATCTTCTCAAGTACTCGAGGTTTTTGTCTATCTTGTTTAGGTATAACAGGAAGTCAGAACCTAGAATGTATTCTGTAAAGAGAAGAGTTCATCGGAAAAGGTCACACGTGGACGTTCCTCATGAAAACAAAGAAGGTGGGATGGCAAGACTCCACTCCTCACACTGTATTTACAGGAAGTAGTTTTGATTCTTTAGAATGCCTGCCACATTCCCGTTCCATTGGTTTCAAGCATCTTTGCTGTGTCTGTACTTGGGCTTGTCAGTGCCAGATTCCAAGGGGTCCAGGTAGTACCCTTGGAGCTGGTTTCTCATGTGATGTTCAGTAGCTCTTACCACTGAGCATCACAGGAGACCAGATGTTGTCTAATAAATTGCAAGAGTTGTGTATTTGGCCATTGTCTTGCCATTGTCTTGCAATGGACCTTGGTTTCTCAGGCCACTCTGCATTGATGAGTCAATCATATTAACCTAGCTGGGGTGGGATTCTACAGATATCAAGGGTCATGCAACCAGGTTGACTGGAGCCAATCACAACCGCATAGAAATCTGGGCCTGAGGGAAGGCAAGCAAGATGGTGCCCACTTCTCTGTTCAATTACCAGCAAAGCTAGCCCATAATTCAGATCCCTGGGGTGGGGGTCAAGCAAGCAGCCTCTTGCTATCTACTGGGAGTTGAAGTAATGATCCTGGACAGTGAATCTTGGAAGGGAGGGTCCTGCTGGACACACAAGCAAGTTGCAACATGGAGTACTTAGGTCTAGGGTGGGTGTCTAGAATACCTGAGCTCCCTTGGGAGGATACAAGGAAGCGACCCTCTAGGAGAAAGGGCATAGGATGTGGCATATGGAAAACCATACGAGGGGGACCCAAAAACATGCAATTTATTTTTAAAAATTGTGTGTTTGTGTTCTTACATATTTATTTATTTATTTATTTATTTGTTTTTGTTTTTATTTTTTTTGAGTTGGGAGTCTCACTCTGTCACTCAGACTGAAGTGCAGTGGCCGCTCCCAGCCACCGCAGCCTCGACCTGCTGGGCTCCGGTGATTCTTCCGCCTCAGCCTTCCAAGTAGCTGGAATTACAGGCATGTGATACCACGCCCAGTTGATTTTTTGATTTATTGTAGAGA